TGCGATTCTTCTTTATTCCCTTTTCCCCTGCTTTCCTGTCTTTCAAGTTTAGTAGTAATGGGAGGGGCTTTTCTATCAGACATATCTGAGTGTTCATCCCAGCATTGTTACTTCTATCTTTTTGACATTGGAACCTCTTAAGCCCTAAAATATTTCCTTAAAATACTTGAGGCCTGGCACTATAAGTGCTCAAAAATTCTACTTTTGTTTCTTTGTGACACTTGTTATTGATGGCTAATTTAAATTGCTCTTAACTTTTTTATGCATATAAGTATTGTTCCTCAAGTAGGTAAGTAATGTTACCAGGATAAGGGTACTGGCTATTTGTACTATTTACGTTCTAACAGATACTTAAAAAAAACACTCAAGTATTCCTTGTTGAGGGAAGTGTGTGTATATATGTATATATTGTATATATATATATATGGAAACAAAATACAGTTTTATTAATCTGTTGATGCATCCAATTCCCTCAGTGAATTTTTCTAAATATTAGATGGTAGAATGTGGTTTAGGTCAGAATATCTCTGTATAGTTTTGATCTTTCCTCCCTTAATTTCGGACTATTTCATCTTCCAAATCTAGCAGTGAGTCTAACCACTTCAATCCAATGGTTTGAAAAGAGGGGAGGAGAGCTTGGCAATATGATATATACCTACTGAGACAAAGGAAAGGGATGTCATAGACAATAATAAGGAACCATTTTTTTCCTAACACGTGGTGCTGTTAAATGGCATAGTTTGACTGTTCTCTGACTTGGGTGGTATCCTGGGTTAGGTGGCCATGAATGTGAAAAGAAGGCAGAGGAGCCATGGCTAGTGATTGCATCATCTGGGAAACTGCTTCTGTTACTCAGTAACTTGAATCTCAGATAGATGAGTAGCCCCATCACTTAGGTGTTTACAGTGAATACAGTGATCTCTTTGATTATTAAAAGGTAGCCTAATACAGCTTAATGTATGTTCAGCTTTGGCCTGTCAGGTTAGCTATTCTTCCTTTTGGAAGGTTCAAGTAAAAGGATGCAAGGGAGCGTCAACTCTCTTCTTCCCCAGGCTGTCATAACCTCTTATCCTCACTCTTGATGGGAGAGAAGCCGGAAGCAGCCTCTTCTGTGGGTTTAAGTTGATGTGTGAGGAGATTGGGAACATACATTTGTTTTTTGTTTAAGTGTGCTTGGCATTATTTTTAATGCCTAAAATTGTTTATTGATATTGCTGTCAGGGTAGAGGTAGGTGATCCAGAGATTCCCATTTTTATCACAAAAGCTAGTAAATGTGGTTTCTCTGGCTTGCTCTTGTGTTCTCCAAGTGTACCTCAGCGTTGCTGACTTTATTTCTCTGACCCCTGGAAGTTTAGGGTTACTCTTAGAAATTCTTTATTGCATCTAACTATTGCCATTGTACTTGCTTCTGGAGGAGATAGAGGTGAATGTCGCTAAGAGCTTTGTAGCAGTTTATTGCCAAGGTCCTCACACTGTTTCAGAGATTTTGGTGACCAGAGCTGCCAGGTGAGTGAGTCTCAGTCCTCCTTCTCTGCTTGCCAAGTTTGGTTCCTTAGGACTGAAGAGCATAAAGCATATCACTTCTTAGTTCTGCCTTTCAGTTTCTCCTTCTTCAAATCTTCTTACTTTTAACCTCTTTGTTTTTAAACAAGAACTTAGAATGATTCAGTCACCTGTTTTAAGTTTTGTTCTCAATCTTATTCTCACAGTATTGTGAATGTGGGAGTAGATGGTTTTCCGGTTTTAATTGACTAGCCCTGTAAGGACTGAGGTGAAAAGTATGTAGCATGATTCCATAATCTGTTAAGCAGGAAAGTAATGGATCTGTTTACATACAGTGTTTACCACATTTTCCCTCTGTTAGGAACTTTTGTAAGGAAATGACATTCTTGCTTGTTTAATGAGGAGCAAAGGGCAGTATTTTCAGAAATAGCTATTTGGTCCCCAAGAGACAACATTCTTTTGCCATGAAATATACTTACCAGACATTTTGGAAGAATTGCAACCTAAATAAGAAAGATATAAATGTAATGTGTTTGGGGTTAAAAATTATCTCAAAACATTTTAGCTAGTATTTTTGGGAACAGAGTTTCTTTTATTAGAAATTAGAGGCTTTCAATGAAGTAAAATGTGTAATAGTCCAAAGTGATGCATACTGGTTAAAAGCAGATGATGAACTCAAACTAATGATGGAAGTAATTCCAGTTTTAATAGTAAATATTATAATTCTTATTTCACTTTATTTTTATTTCTTTAGTTGCAGCAGGATTTGAATGGAAGCTCACTTATAATTGGTGCAATTAAAATGAAATTGAGACGAAAACAAGTTGAAATTATCAAAATGATTATTTTCTAATATATGCAACCATGATTTCCTAATTATAATTAAGAAAGAAGTGTTTACACGTTTGGTAGTGTTTGTTTCATAGTATGTATCCCTGTGGGTACCATGATTAATGCTCATTTTTAAGGCACACTAAAATTTCAAGTTTATTAAAGTTTTTGTTTTAGCAAATATTTAGTTTGTTTTTCTTTTAAATAATAAAAATGTGTAGTTTGTAGGGAAGCTTTATTCACTGTGTTTTTTAAAAAAACTTTGAAAACTCATATTTAGTCTATACACTTTACCCCTCTTGACTGCTAATAACTTTTAAAAAATAAAGTAAAAATAACTTGTTCTTTCTTTTGCTTTAAAATGTTTGTCATCTCATGTATGCCAGATTTATTGGACTGCAGTAGTTTTAGTGCATTTTGGCTGGAATGTTTATTATGACATCACTGTAATCTATATACAGTATGTGATTTCAGATGGTTTCAGTGTTAAATATTTTCATAATTATGCTAGTTTTGGCAGTTCACTTGGAACTTTTTCACATCTCTTTAATGAATATGTTTTACTTCTGGGCTTTTGAGACAACCATATGTTTCAAAAATTAATAGTGTGCTTTTAATGTTAACATTGTGCAGAAGTGTATGACTACAGACATTTTTAAGGATGTAAGTTGAACTAAAAGTAATTACAGAATGGTTTTATTCACAGTAGTAGTCTTTTAGTATTTAGAGACTGTAACATCCCCCAAAATAACAGAAGATGTCATTATAAAAATTGAATAGTGTAGTTGTTTCGTGGAATGAAATGCTGTGAAGTTTGTTTTGCATTAACTTAAAATGAACATAAGTTTGTGTGAAATTTTTTTTAATTGTTTATTATAGCAAAATTTAAACTTTTTGCTTATAGTCAAGTTTCAAACAAAATTTTTCTCTTATGCTAATATATTACTAGCATCTGAAGCTGTGCTATATTGTAAAAGATTCATCTTTATTTTTGTATAGTCCTCTTAGTGTGGTAGTGAGTAAGAATTTTTGTTTCCTAAAGGAGGTCCTGTCATTGTTCTTATTTGCCTCTGGTACCCTTTTAGATAAATTAGTGGTTATCCTTATTTTTGTTCTTTAATTTTTTCTTCAAATATATAAAATAGAAAACCTAAATTTACCACAATTCTTTTAAGTATTATGAATTAGTTTTATTATTGATTAATGAATTGATGGTACGCAGTATACTATCAGTTCCTCTTTATGTTGGAGAGATGTTTGATCTCTCCCACCTCATATGCATCTCTCCTTCAAGCAGAATGTGCTTTTATCCCCCCAAAAGGAATAAGCTGATGTCAGGTGCTTTTTACCACATACTACTACCCCACCTGTTTCCTCCTTGTAATACTTGTCTTCCTGAAAGAGCAATCTATAATTATTTTTTCCATCTTAACTTCTTATTCATTCTCTGACTACTCATTTACTTCTCCCACTCCTGTCCCTTTACTGGAATTACCAAATCTCCTTTTTTATAGGTTATTGGCACCCTCCTCCTAATTACCAAATCGTGACTGTCAGCTAGAATGAATACCAAATCTTGAGTGTTATCTAGAATGAAGACAGAGAACATCTCTGTAGTTCTTAACATAACCTTATTTTTATTGAACTAATCCATGCCTCTAGCTTCTGGTATTGTTCCCCCATCTTAAACATTGTATACTGTGGTTTTTTTTTTTTTTTTGGACTGATCATTATTCCTTATATATGCTACATACATTTGTACTGTTTTCTTTATAGTTTTCCCCCTATTTAGCTGCTGATCTTAACCTAAAACATTCCTACATTCAGTTCTAAGGGCCTGATTTCTTTAATTCTTCCAAATAGAATGACTTTTGTGTTCCTTTCAGTTAAAAACAAAGAAAGAAAATTGCTTTTGTAGAACTGGTTATGTATGTTTTAAATAGATCATGAAATCCTTGAGGACAAGTATTGTATCTAATTTGCTTTGTAAATCCAGCAATTAACACATAAGAGTATTATGTAAATGTTTGTTGAATGAAATCAGGAAAAGAGTACTCATTTGCATTGTATACATTTCAAAAATATGTATGGTTTTTTGATATTTTTGTTATTCATGTCAAAACCCAATTAAACCTTGTGTCTAATCTGAATAATATTCAATTCAGTGAACATTGTTAAATAGGATGTCAAGGATTCTAAGGATGGTTAAGATTAGATAAGGATGGTTAAAGATGATTAAGAAGACAGCTTGAATTCTTATTTTGACTCACATAATAGTGAGGAGTCTTAACATATAAACAAATAGGAAAAAATTAAGACCTTTTCCATTTATTTTGCACTCAGATGGAAAATGTTTAAAAGTTTCTATAAAATTGTTGTCTTTTGCTGAAGCCATATATAAGAATTTTTTGACATTATCAAGTGGTTTGTTTTGATACCAACTAAAGAAATGAACAATTTGTAGTTTTAAACTTCTAGTTATTTTTGAAATTGAGAATGCCAATTATGAAAAATTTTGGTTATGTTGATTTTTAGAGCTAAAAAAATAAAATTAGGAGAGTCTTGTCTAATCACATTCAATAACTTGCATTCAGTCAACAAAACTTTTAAAAATTCTTGAATGCTGATTGATTGATTTACTTTTCTTTCTTCAAAATAAAAACAGGATGACCATGAAAGCTGTGGTTCTAATTCTACCAACCATAGTACTACTGAGAATACAAAGTCATCAGTAAAACCCCGAAGAATTCAGCAGGCTGCTCCCACAGATCCTGATTTGCCACCAGGTAACTTGATAAAAGAGAAAATTTTGATTGTTATTAATCATTGTTTTAGCCCTTTGGAGAATAACTACTTTCACTATTCCTTAGTGTCGTGAAGTGTTTAAACCATATGTACGTTTGCTGCATATTGTCAGGACGAATTGAAAGACATTTCTGAGGGCTCTGGGCTCATTTAAATTTTGATGCTCTTTTGCCCTTGGTGGTTATTTAAGTTTCTTACATCCTCTCCAAGCCAAGACTTACCTCTGACTCCTAGTCATAGTTTCTTTGTTCCTCTTGCTTCTTGATGAACAAAGGAATGACACTAGATTGTTCTTGAGTTTCTGAAAACTGTAATATTCACTAACAATCACACTGGGAGAGACCATCTCTTCTCTTTCATTTCCTAAAATTTTTATTTACCTAGAAGAGTAGTAGCTTACAAACAACAGTTCCTTGGTATTTAGTGAAGGGAAAAAAACAGTGATCATTACATATCAGTCCTGTGGCCAAAGTGCATTGCTGTCTTTTTACAGTTACTAGTTATCTATCACTTCTCTTTTGATTTTATTTATCAGTCAGTTTTTTTTTTTTTTTTTAGCTATAGGTGACATTGGTAAATACTTGTTTTCTACACCAAAGATTTGGAAGCTTTCTGCTGGTTTTAACCTAGTTAATTTTTGATAGTCTTCTGGGGCATCATCTACTTCACTTGTAAGAGATTAGAGTTAGATATATCATTTCATAGCCCTCCTCCCTCAAGTACAGGTTCTAAATTGCCTTTGAATTGATTTTTTTTTTGGTATATGTATTGCTGAAGTGAGCACTAAGCTGAACATTTTTCACTGTAGTGTTATAGTGATGTTAATGCTGATGCTTTGTGTTTTTAGGAACTTTACCTAATAGTTCTCAGTAATCCCTCTGGCTTTAGAATAAATAGATTAATTGCTGTAGCTGGAGAAAGTGCCAGAAGAAGGTATTTTACTTCTGAATGTTTCTAATTCTACTTTGAGTTGTGTGATGGTTACAGAACTTTCTAAATTCTTTTCTTAATTATCAACTCCTTGGGAGAAGTCCCTGGTGAATTAAACTGTAAGTTAAACTATAGTTTATTCTTGTTTATTAAGTAGACAACCCTTTCACCCCTCCAAATTTCTGACTACATATCCTCTTAAAACTTCTTTGTATAGAACTCTCTCAATCAATATCTTGGCAAAAAATAATCAGTTTTAGGTTTAACTATTAAGTCTTACTACATTTTTTTCTAGTGGGAAAGAACTTGTTTAAGAAAAATTTAATTCTTTTGTCAGTTTTTGATTTCACAGATAAAAATCTGTGGGCTAACCTGCATGTAATCAAAACAGGTCGCAGACTTTTAATGATTATTTAGAACCTGTTTTGCAATTTACACTGATAATCAGGATTAGGAGAATTGTTCTGTTTTTAGGAGCAGAAAGCATAAAACATAAAAACATAAATGTAACATAAAACATCCTATTTTTAGTGGCATAAAACAGAGCTGTATTCTCTGTGAACTACTTGAGGTAGCTTTTGGATTAACATGTGCTTTTCTGCCTCACCTAATAGGAGGACTCGTATCCTCTTTTATGCTGACATAAGTCACAGTTAAGGAATTGCTTTAGGAAGTCACTGAACTTATTGGGCAATTACTGGGAGGCAGAGCAGCTAAACGTAATCTTGCCAAAGGAAAAAAAAAGGGATAATTTGAGAATCCAGTGGGATAATAGTAAATCACTTTATTTAAAGATTAACTCATACAATTATTTGAGGACTCATTTTTGGTGACATTATCCTGCCTGGAAATTATATTAAAGTTCTTTTATGGTAGACATGAATTCCTGTTTTCAACATTTTCTAGGGAAAGTTATTTTTTCTAGAATCTGTGGTCATAATTTTGGAGTTTGAACATTTGCGTAGATCCAGAGATACTTTTTAAGAAAAGTTTTGGTGTTGCCAATAGTTGTTTGTAGAACAATATATTCTTCTCAAATTTCATTGAGGAAAACTATTTGCAAGGACATTATAGCGCAGAAGTATTACCTCGGTAACAGTTCTGTATTCTGGGAAGGGGAGCACAAAATATTGATGGATAGCTAGCCATTTCTGTCATACAGCTGTTCTTTTTCATTAATACGCTGATCCTTTTAAAAGTAGGTTATGCTTCAAACTATTATCTTGTTAATAAGCTTCAAGATATCTAACATTTATATTTTGTTTATAACAGGGAAAGTGTTAACTGGAGAGCCTTTATTTCATTCTAATTAGATTGAATTTCAAAACATTGCTTGGTGGTGGCAGACCCTTTAGTTCCCTAAATCTTTATTGCTGTGTGAATGAGAGTATGCTGGAGCAGCTCATTGGAGGCTATCTTTGCCCTCAGAGAATTAATGGCTTAGTATAGGAGACTTTGTGAACTACTAATTAGTGTAAAACCAAGGCAGAGAGAAGCTCTAAGGAAGCACAAGTACTGTTTTTTGGATACTGAAAGAAAGGAGTGGTTATGTCTGTGTGTGTGGCTTCTAAAATATGAAGGTAAAATGGAAAAGTAAGAAAGATTGCAACTGAAAGAACGGGAAATGGCACAGTAGACAAGTACTATCCAAAAATAAATCTCTACTTATAGCATAAAAATTAGGCAAAATGTAACTAAGGCAAAAGCATTGATGGACACACATAATAGATGCTGAATTATAATAAAAGGTACAGTCCTCCAAAAAAATTTATGACGATTTTTTATGTACCTAGCAACCTAGCTTTGAATTGTGATAGATCAAGCAAACAAAAATATAAAATCCCCAAACTGGATCTTTGAATATCAAAATTAACAAGATTGTTCTATAGATATTTGTAGAACTCTGCACCCACCAGATAAGACAGTTGTACATTTTTATGATGCACATGTTGGATTTCTATAGACATTGGGAAAGACTTGGTCAAAAGGAAGTCTTGACAAATTTCAAAGAACCACTATCATAAAGACCATCCTCTCTGGCCCCAATACATTTAAATTAGAATGTAATTACTATACCATTTGATATCATTCATGTGTGAAATCTAAGAGAAAGAAAAAAAAAAGAGGACACTAATGAACTCATCTACAAAACAGACTTGCAGACATAATAAACAGTCTTACGGTTACTGCGGGAGAGGAGTGGGAAGGGATAAATTTGGGAGTTTGAGATTTGCAAATATTAACCTCTCTATATAAAAATTGATTAAAAAATTTCTTCTATATAGCACAGGGAACGATACTCAATATCTTATAACAAAATTTAATGAAAAAGAATATGAAAATGAATATATGTATATATATGCATGATTGGGACATTATGATAAAATGGTAGAGATAAATTCAGTATTTTTCAGTTACATCTTTTGGATTTTCTGTATAAAAAAGTCATCTTGTAGTGACAATTTTGTGTCCTCCTTGTCAATGCTTACACTTACTTTTTTATCCTTACTAAGTTATTTAGAACTTCTGTGTCTATCTTAAATAATAATAAAAGTATCTTCAACTCACAGCTATTTTCCTTTGCTCCTGCAGTAGCTGCCCCAAGTTACCCTCTAGTTACCAGATCTGATGGATGTTTTTTAAATTCATGTGTTTTTGAACCTTTCTACTACTGCATTAGCAATAAGGAATCCTAATTCTTTCCTAAACTTTCTAAAAAAGTTTAATTTGAAATAATTTCAGCCTTCCAAAAGATGCAAGAACATTACAAAGAATTTACTTTTTTTCTAACTATTTGAGCATAAGTTGACTGTATGATGCTGCATAGCCCCCAAATTTTACACCAGTAAGTTGACCAGGATGTTTTTAGGTACTGTGACAAATCATCAACCATATAATTTCTGGTTTTGAGCAACTTGGCATCCTAGTGACCAACTTACAGTAAATCAATTGCAAATATTGTCTCTTTGTAACCCAAATTATTTGCTATACATTACTTAAAGTATATCAGAGAAATAATTAAGATACAATCTTTGTCCTCTAGGGTTTCATAATTTAACAGAGAAGGTAAGTATAGATAAACATATACAAAAGGCAGTTGTAACCTAAGCCCAAGAAGAGTGGTAAAGACAGTCTCTTTAATGTTGATGTGGAGGGTGAAGGGCATTGGAAAAGAGGATATATGGCAGAGGGTATACTGAACCTGGACCTGAACAAGAAGGGAGAATAGACAGACTGTTTTAAACAGAAGGAAGAACATGAGCAAAGTCAGTGAAAATTCAGTTTTATCTGGCCCTGTGGGTATATGTGTTGAGAGGAATGGGATTTACGGGTGGGAGAGAGTTGAATAGCGATAAGAATTTCTGGAAAGGTTGACTAGGCTGTTGTTCTAGAGCTATCTAATATGATATCTTAGAGGTTCTTATCCCCAGAGTGCTTGTGGAATAGATTTGGATTACTGTTACTTCATTTGAACAGATAAGATACACTCCCCGGGAGTCTCTAAATATGGAGTATTGAGAGCTATTAGATCTGCTGTTTGACCCTTTTCTGTGGCAAATTTAGAGCTAAGTCATTAGGAGGGATTAAAGAGAGAGTATATTATCTATTCCATTGGATAGTCACTGTTACTTGCTTTGGCATTGAATTTTTAAATAAGAAAATGTAGTTTTATGTAGTTCTATTTAGGTATTTGATTCTTTTACATTGGTGAATTGGCTTATTCATCTCAGTTTGTGTAAAGAGAAACTGAGAGAAGATATTAAAAGGTATATGAAAAAAATCTACCAGTAGGATTCTGTTAGTTAAAATACATTTACATTATTATGTTTCTGTTAACTGCTTTGCATTATATGTTTTGCCCAGTTCTATCTCTTGAGTTTTTTATTTATTTATTTATTTTTTATTTTTTTGAGGATAATAGAAACTCATGAACTCTTACAAGGTTTTTATGAGTTCTTTTTTATTGCTGACAGATTTTTCAGAAATAGGAAAACCAATATTAGTCATGCTTCTTGACTTTACAGAAACAGTTTATTTTTATTTTTAACATCTGTGTTGAGTAATAATAGCATGGGGAAATATACATTCTAAACTTGAAAATTTAGATACTTAAATTTTCTTTTTGAAACTTAATTTGTTAAGCATTATTGTAGCATATACTCACATAAAAGAATATTTTTAAACTTTAAGTTTGTTGATATTTTGTGTGTTAATTTTATAGCATATGATAATTGGCACTCTAAACATTGCTAATAGTCACCATGTATGTGAAAAACTTGAACATAGTCATTTTACATTTTTTTCCTATTTGTATCCATTGGGAATGAATGAAGGATTTGGTTTTTGGTTGAATAAATTTAAGTAAGCTTTCTCCCAGCAGACGTCAGTGTAGGTGTTAACAATGTCAGTTGCTGACAGAAGTTGGTTCTGTTTTGTCCAGTAAAGTTCTGGTTTAAAGAATACAACAGATAGTTATTTCATGAAATAAGCTAAAATTTTAATTAGCTTTTAAATAGGGTTTATAGTGGAAAATGTATTTGAATAAAGTGAAGTTTTTAATCTTTTTCTCCTGTGTCTTTTTAAATGCTGTTTATGTTTAGGTTTATTTATATTTTCAATTTAATTCCTCAATAATGTATCTCTATATACATTTATTGTGTGCGAGAAACTTCAGAGATTATGGATTCTCAATATGCTTTCATCCGTTCTCTTTCTTTCCTTACCCTTCTTCTGTCTTCTTCATTGTATTCTTTTTCCCTCTTTAATTTTTTCTATGTTTTCTTCCTCAGTCATACTTTCTCCCCTTCTTTGTTTCAATATTATGTATTCATATGTGGAAATAGTTGAATCTGTTATGATGGTCTTGTTTCTGTTTTCTTCTGTGCCTAACTTTTGAATATTTTTATGGCTATTTAAAGTAGGAAGAGAAGATGGCAGCTGGTTCAAAAAGAACCTTGAAGAAGCTCTTCTAATATATTGTATAATCAGTGTATATAGTAATATTGTTTCATTTTGGAAAATGTTTATAAAATAGGCAGAAATCAGACAAAGTACATGTAGTATAGGGTAATCATTTAATGGAATCTAGTATTATGTTATGAAAAGATGTATAGTGCCCATGGTTTCTCTTAATATGCGAGCACTTCGTTACATAAAACTTCTTTGTAATGGCTTTTTTTGGGGGATGGATCTGTTACTTACTAGCTATGTCACCTCGGTAAGCCTAGTTGAATGTTACCTAGGCTGAATGTTAGTTTCATCTTTACAACATATACTAGATAATACCCATCTTTTACATACATTAAGTTCAGTAACATTTTAAGAATAATTATTTATTGATAGACTTATGTCTAACTGAATTCTTTTTTCCTGTTTTATAGGTTATGTACAGAGTCTGATTAGACGAGTTGTAAATAATGTAAATATTGTGATAAATAATCTCATACTAAAATATGTTGAAGATGATATTGTTCTTTCAGTCAACATTACTTCTGCAGACTGCTATACAGTGGGTGAATTATGGGATCGTGCATTCATGGATATTTCTGGTGAGTAAATGTCAACAATAGTATAGATTTTTCTATTATTGAAACAGCTGTCCTGGATTCTAAAACTTTTCTGGGCCAACAGGCTGTTTGAAAAGTCTAATGAAAGCTTTATGCCTTCAGCCTGAAAAAAGGCATATATGTAAAATTTAGCATATAGTTATAGGAGGTTAATAAACCCTCAGATTAAGAAATTTCAGACTTTTTTTGATATTGTTAATTTTTATTCTTTCTTGCCTGTCACATACTTGTTTCAAATGTGATAAATAATATTTTACAATGCTATGGATTGAAGCAATAATAATTAAATAATATTTAGTTAAAATTTTGAATGTTTTTGAAGGAGGAAAGGAAACATGTTGCTTTTGCATAGTTGGATAATGACAAAACAGTGTATCTGATTGATTTATGTTTTAGGTTTATATATTGCAAAGCATAGTTGGGAGTTTTGGGTAGTCCCAAAGCCTCCTTTGTTACCTGCTGCATCTTATTCTGCTTATATTAAAAGAACTATTAGTAATAATTTTAATAACTCCATTTATTTATTTTATTATGTTCTACGTGAAACGTAGGCACTGTGCTAAGCACTGAAAATACAGCTGTGAAAGAAATAGACACTGCTTTTTCTTAATTTTGTCAGAAGGCATAATAGTTAAATAAGTCACAATACTTGTTGGTACATGTTCTGATGGGGTAAGGAGTGGGTATTTTTGGAAAATATAGTAAGGAGACTATCGTGAGCACCTTTTATCTGTGACTTAACCATGATACGTAATTGCTAAAGTTATCCTACCCGAGTTTGAATCCTGGCTCTCCTACTGAGTACAGATTTATGACTTCACTGTTTCTTAGTTTCCTCAAATACGTATCACAGCATAAAAGTGTCCTGTACATAGTGCTCAGAAAATTAGCTGCTGTTCTTATTTATATTCAGTCTCAAATTTTCATAGCAGTTCCATAGAGTGATATCTTTTCTCATTCATTTACTCATCTTAAGTTGTAATTAAAAGAAAGTAAAGTGAAATTGAGTCTCTAGATTACTTGACTTGCCTTGTTAAGACATACAAATAGGAACTAGCAGAATTGGAATGCAGTTTCATTTTTGTGCATTCTTTAAGGTTTGATCTAGAAATTTTAAAAATGAAGAATAATTCTGGTCTCAGCTCTGTTGTGAGACATAATTAAGAGCACATGCAAAGACCCAGGGTTTGTTTCTGAGACATTGTTAATTCCTCCTCCGTCTTATCCTCTGTGGGAGGAAATACTTGGTAAAAATCACAGAAGAAAAAGTTAAAAAAATAGAAAACAAGCAGAACTGGATAATGCAGGACTGAATAAACGAGTTGACATTTTAGGGAAAGAAATTTCATTTATAGTTTTTTTTATCAAAGTAATGCAAATATTACTTTGGGAAATTATTTATAATGAATTAGAGTATTGGATTGGGAGTTAGGGGGTCTTGGTTCAAATCTTGTCTTCCAGCACTGACTTAGTGCAACCTTGGGTAAGTCATTTGTAATGAAAATTCACATTTGTAAATTTGTAACTGCCAACCTGTCAGTGTATTTATGAGAATCAAGGATGATACCATGTGAAAGATCATGATGATGGTGGTGTTAAGGACAGCAAAAAGAGTAATTTTCATTTATTGAGCATTTGTTTAAATGCTGGACCTGGTGCTGTTTTTTTTTTTAAGTTAATTACCTTGTTTTAATCCTTTAATTTCTGAGGTAGATGTTTCCCCTTTTATTAATTTTTAATGCAACATTTGGTATTTAAAAAGGATTTATGTAACATATTTGTTAAAAAACAATGTAATGAGCACTTATACTCTGAGTAGTAGAACATTGTTTCCCCCATCAGTGTGCTTTTCCCTGTCCCATTCCCTTGCTACCTCCTAGAATTAACTGCCATATTAAATATTGTTTATGATTTAATTGCTAAAAAAGCTGGGCTATAAAAAGGAATGAAGCCCTGATACATGTTACAACATGGATGAACCTTGAAAATGTGTACATACATATAAGCATTTCTAGGACATATACAGTACTTACGAGTAGATTTGTTGGATGGGAGAATATGCAGATATTCACATTTTCAAAATAATGTTACATCATTTTCCAGAGTGCTTCTTAGATAGGTATAATTATCCCCATTTTACAGATTAAATGGTAACACATTATCTAAAGTAAGTACCAGAATCAGCATTCATTTTGTATGTTTTTAAGATAGCTCCTGTTGTAATAATGTTTAAGAAAAACATTTTTCAAAGCTTAATCATTTCCTCTCTCACTGAAAAGTTTTCTGAAATATCCTTGAAGTATTATCACTTTATGTTCTCATAGCATGATGGATAGGAAAATGTGCTTTGGAGTAAGGCTGCTAGAATTTGAATTACAGCTCTGCTCTTCTTTATAAACTGTCTAACAATAGACAGGTTACTTACCCTTACTTTTCCTTTGTTCCACATCTTTAAACAGAGCCATATAAATATTATGAGATAATACATGTAAAAGATTTAATATAGTGTCTAACAGCAAATATTCAGTAAATTATAATTACTATAAAGAGAAGGAAGGAAGTATTTAGTTTCTTTCATGTCGAGTCCTATTATAATTTCTTTATTTTGTGTACATGTATATAATAATAGTAACTAAATCATTTATGTATATACTGTGTAAAATGAAATAATATGGTAACTTGGTTTTTTTTTTTTTTTTTATAAAAGTAGATTTATTTAGAGAGATGTACATGGTAGGGTTACGGGTGGTGGTTAAAGTAAAGGTAGACGTATAGTCTGTAGACAGAGTGCAGGCCGTCTTGGAAAATAGAGCGACCGTTGTTTGTGTATTTTTTCAACAGACAAATTTGATATTTATTTGCTTAATGAAACTTTATTTTCACACATGTACATACTGTTTAAGTTTTTAAAAAGTAAGTAAAAACTAAATCCAAAAAAAGAAAAGAAAATTAAATAAGTTAATTAGAGGTTGTCAGAACATACTCAGAAATAGAATGGACTAAAGTATAATTTATTGTTTGATTCCCATGCCCATAGCATGTGGATAGCTGCTAAAAATTACTGATCAAGTAAATTTGGGCCTGATACTTACCTAAGAATTGCTTATTAGTTAGGAATAAAATAACTCATTTGCTGAAGGTTTCACCTTCTAGTTTATACTTTACCAGCAATTGTTTCCATTTTTATTCCCTTGAAGACAAACTTTATACTGTCATTGATAATTTGGTAATTTCTTCATTAGTTATTATTTAAAGAAGTGCTGTCCACTAGAATTTTCTGTGATGATTGAAATTTTTCATGTTTTTACTGTCCAGTACTCTAGCCACTACTCACCTGTGACTTTTGAGTTCATGAAATGTGGCTAATCCAACCAAGGACCTAAAGTTTTATTTTCATATAATTGTAATTAGTTCATAGGTAAATTTAAGTAACTACATATCACGGGTGGCTACCATATTGAAGAGTGCAGGTTTGAGAGTAGCAGCAGTGAGTTTTTTAGTATAAGATAAATGATAAATGTTAAATGAATGACTGTTACTCAAAATGTTATTTTTAATATGATTTCTCAATAATTTGATTGTATTTTAATATTTCATTGCAGATTGTGAAATGTGACAAAATTTTTTATAGACTTTGTCTACATTTGTAGTTAGGTGTCAAGCAAATTGGGGGTGAACTGCTTCATTTCTTTGGCTTCTATTTGATTCTTCATACATAAAATGGGGATTATTGTGCCTATTTCATAAGGTTGTTGGAAGACAAATTATATAATAAAGGATAAGTTCTTTTCTTAGGCTCTGGCATCATGTATTAAATATGCTGTTAATCTTATTTCCATTATTTTTATTACTATTGGTACTAATAAATAATAGTTGCATTTTCTTCTCTAACTTTCCTTTTTACTTAAAATGTTTTTCTTTTCTTTTTAGCAACTGATCTGGTGCTGAGAAAGGTTATCAATTTTTCCGACTGTACAGTTTGTCTTGATAAACGAAATGCTAGTGGTAAAATAGAATTTTACCAGGACCCTTTGTTATACAAATGTTCCTTCAGAACTCGTCTACATTTTACATATGATAACCTAAATTCCAAGATGCCATCTGTTATAAAAGTAGGTGTTTCTTTTTCTAATAGTTGAGTTGCATGTCTCTACTTGGTTTATTTGCTGTTGTGCATATTAATAAATATTGAAGAGCAAAGAAGAAATTAACCTCATAAACATATGTACCATTAATTTTTGTTAAAAAGTTTTATTTATATTTTTTAACTTTTATGTTATTATAGTTATAACTTTTTGCAATGTGTGTTCTAGTAGAGATATTTTGGGATCAACTTTTTTTTTTTCTATGACTGTACTTTCCTTTTTAGTTTGTCCAACTATTTGTTAATGATTTTTACTTTGAGGAAATAGAAGAGATCATATGAAAAAAGTGTATTTTTACCCACAGTGGACTGAGTATCAATCTGTATTTCAGTCCTTATAATTTGTTTAGCACGATCTGATAACTGTATAGTTACTGACTCTTACCTTTCTTAAAGATATATAAGGCTTAATTTGCTAGCCTAATCTTAGTTGATTGGTTCAAGAAATTTTAGCTTTTTATCTGTGGTTTCAAATTGTAATTAAAATCTTAGGAAAAAGGAAACTTTTCAGATAATGTCTTTTGATCTGTGTGAAACTTTGTTCTCCAAGGTACTGGTGTATATATTTAATGTGTATAGTTATTCTCTAAGTGTAAATCTTGTGTTCTTTTATTACATAACAGTTTTCCTACTTCTTGTCTGACTGTTTATCTTTGAAAAAGAACATACAGTGACTTGTCATCTGGTTAACTAAGTTTTAATGTGGAATGAATTTTTATTATTTGAATTACAAGCTTTTGAATGCTTAAGTACTGCAGTGGAAAAGCCTGCCTTGAGTCTGAACAGTGGTATTGACTACTATATGTGTTTGGGCATGGCTATATAAATGATTAGTTTTGCATAATGTTTTTTAAGACAACACTTTCTATTTTATGAAGCTTTATTAAAATTATATTTATACATGAAATCTACCTGTTTTTCTTTGGTAATGTTCAGTTATGAATATTTCATTTTTTCTCTGCACATTGTGCCGTGCGCATTGGTTTGTTTAAATTCTGTTACTTTCTTCTACTTTTGAATTAGCTTCTTAGGCAAAGATAAGCATGGAAAAGTATGAATTCAATAGTAATTAGGCCTCTGTCTCAGGACAATGGACTTAATTTCCTTCTTTGGCCTTGACTCTCCTCCTAAAGTTAGAGGATGTTAAGGGTGAATTAAAGCTATATTTTGAAAGCAAGTAATGCATATATGGAAGCCTTACTATATAAAAAACCCTTATTGATCATTGGTACAAATTCAATTGTGCATTCTAGGATGTGGCTAAATTAGAGAAGAGTATAAAGAAATGAACTTGAGGAAAGCTTAGTGTTAGCAATATTTGTGTTCTCAAAATTGATTAGCCATGACGTTTCATTGTAAAAGGCACTTCAATATAAATAAGCTTGTTGACTTGTGGTTTTTGACTGATAGTCACTGAGTATGAGATACTATTGTGCTCAAAAGAAATTCGGTTTTGAGTTTTTTATTAATACTATTGAGATGTAAGATTTGCTGTTTTGAGTTAGACCCATCATTCTTCCAACTCCCATCCCTAGGAAATATGTATTAAATGGACATGGTTAACCTTATCTATCACCTCAGAGACAGGGAATTTCCCAGAAGTGTTCCAGATACTCTAATTATTTGTGTAAGACTCTTATGTATGCTTGTTTGAGTGGCTTTTGAATTTGTTCATATTTTGGTTAGGCTTTTTATGATTTCCTGTCTTTGTGAGAAAAAAATATGTCTGGAGATTATATCACCTATGAGATATAGATCATATGGGTATGTGATTTATTTAACATTTCTCTTGGTTTTGAAAATTTACTTTTTTCTACAGTTTCAGAGGAATGAAAGTCTGCAATAAATCTTCGAGCACATCTCTGATTAATTCCTTATGAAAGATTTCTGTAATTGCAAATATCTTATTAATGGATTTAAACTTCTTAAGGCCTGTGATCTGTGCTGCAAAATTGTTTCCAGAAAAGTTTAACCAGTGTATATGCTCATGAACATTAAGGGGAGTGTCTATATTGCTTCTGCTGTCCTTAAATATGATCATGTTAAAAAATGCCAAATTGAACAAAAATAATATGTTTTAATATTTGGTTATTATTGAGGTTAGATTTTTGAAAATATGTTCACTGGCCATTATTTTTTCTTTGAAAAATTCATTCAGGTTCTTTGTCAGTTTTTCTACTGGGGATTAATCTTACTGATTTTAAAGATACTTACATATATATAATATATAAAATATATATTTTAATGACTGTGTGTATGATAAATACATTCATACATATATACAGGGTTGTTTTTTTGGCATTGGTTTTGCTAAGACAGGTTGTTACTGGTGCTTTTGGTGCTATGTAGTATTTAAAAGGATGTGGCAGAGAAATCTCAAATTTAAGAAGAGTTTGGCAGAACTGTACTGCATACTTCTCCCTTCCCACCCCCCTAATTTTCTTATCTCTTTATGGTGTAGTCAGTGTATGATTTTCAAGTCAATTTTAAGAAACCTATACTCATATTTGAATATGGTATGTTACACTTGCCCCATACAACTTTCTTCCCTTTCAGAATACAGTTCTTCTTGCCTTTATGCCTAAAAATATGATGATTATCATTACCTCTTTTTCATGTTTCATAGACAGTCAAATACCAGGTAGTTAAAATAAACCTTCCAGGAGACTTGATTTTATGACTTAATTGGTTTTACTCCATGTTTATGTAACAGCAGGAAACCATTAGATTGAGGCTGTGTTTATATTCCATTGACGTCTCTTTCTTTAAGGAAAACCTAGATTTGTATCTTATGGATAGTAATTAATCTTATTTTTCACTTATAACTGATTCATGTTATAAATTTTATATCATGTTTAAATCTTATTTAAAATTTGTCTAAGAAACTTTCCTGAACATATATTTCACTTGGTTTTTGTATTTGACAATAGACATGTTTATTGTGTGCCTACTTCTGTAGTTCTAATGTTAATAATTCCCTCACTTAACATATGTTTTTAGGATGTGTATGTATTCTTTTGGTGAAGAAGGCTAGAAAGGGTGATTCAAGTCTTACTAAAATGACATAATGAAACTTTTATTCGTAGTTGTGACAGAGATCTTTCTGGTTTTTGTGGGAGTACTATCATATTCTTAACATTAGAGGGTGGGTATTTGCATAACAAAAACCTCTGGGAAAAATTATCTGGAAAGCCACTGTGACTGTATCAGCTCAATATCATTTCTATTTCCACTTATATACTTTCTGTCTTAAGTTTATTGATCATTATAGCAAAATTTGTTTTAATTCTTAAGATTTTAGAGTAAACTTATTTTGTCTTAAATGTTAGAAGTTTGGAGACATTACTGTTTCTCCTGTGGTATTCCATTTTAAGACTTAACATTTCTCTAGTTATACTGAAAGGTACTCTCTTTGAATATGCTTTTGTTGGTGTTTTTGTTTTTTTCAAAATACAGATTCATACCTTAGTAGAGAGTTTGAAGCTTTCTATCACTGATCAACAGTTGCCTATGTTTATCCGTATAATGCAACTTGGGATTGCTCTTTACTATGGAGAAATAGGAAACTTTAAAGATGGAGAAACAGACGATTCTATCTGTCACAATAAAGATATGTTAGGAAATATTACAGGTAAATATAACAAAAATTTATTTTATAACTATTGTTCTTACAAAATGTTTTCATCATTGTGAAACTTTAAAAACTACGTTAGATTGAGTTTTGCAGTGTTCTAATGTGATGGAATGATTTTATTTTGGTTGTTTGACACTAATTTTTTTCTTTTCTTCATTCTGCATTCTATTCTGATTTTGTTTTTTCCACGTACTAAAAATAACTTTATTATTTCTAATAGGTATTAGTGTTCAGAATGTACGTTACATAAAACTTAAGTTAGTCCAACCTCAAGATTTCCTAGTAAATTATAGTACATTTGACCCTTGAACAACATGGGTTTGAACTGCGCAGGTTCACTTATACATGTTTTAAAATAAATACTAACTGTAGTACTGTATGATCCATAGTTGGTTAAACCCTTGGATGCAGAACTGTGGCTACAATGGAGGGTTGACTGTGAAGTTATACCTGGATTTTCAACTTGTGCCTTTAACCCTCTCATTGTTCAGGAACAACTATATTGGTAATTTGTCTGAGAAGTCTCACCAAGAGTTATAACTAATTAAGTTATTTATACTTAATTATTATATGTAATTATTATTAACTGTAATTATACTTAATTAACTATATGCTTCATTGGAGATACCTAGTTAATTAATTGGAGCATTAATTAATGAAGTATATACTTCACTGAAAGATACCTAGCAGGTTAACTTCAGTTATTTAATTCATTTTGCTTTTATTAACACCTAGTGTATGTAAGACATTATTGTTGGTAATGTGGGAAAATACAGAGAAATTCTTTCCTTAGAATCTTAATATATAATGGAGTGGACAGAAATGTGAACAGTTAAGTTTGATGTTTGGTAAAATGGTAGGATATTTGATTAAATAGAAGTATGAATGATCTGAAGTAGAAAAATGCTGAAAGGAATCATTGATTTGCATTGGGCCTGAGATTCAGGAAAAATTTGGAGAAGATGATGATTAATTTCTATAATTAGAGCCTTTAGAGAAGGGCATTTAAAACTTAGGAACAAATAACCCAATTAAAAAGTGGGCAAAAGACCTGAATAGACATGTTTCCAAAAAAGATACACAAAGGGCCATCAAGCACATGAAAAGATGCTCAGTATCATTAGTCATGAGGAGTAATGCAAATCAAAACCACAGTGAGATACTGCTTTACAGCCACTAACCAGTATAGTTATAATTAAAAAGACAAATAATAACAGTGTTGGCAAGAAAGTGGGGAGATTTGAACCCTTATGTATAGCTCATGGGAATGGAAAACAATCTGGTTTGTCACAAAGTTGAACACAGAGTTACCATATGACCCAGTAATTCTATTCTTAGGTTTATATGACAGAGTTGATAACACATATCTACATAAAAATTTGTATGTGAATGTTCATGGCAACATTATTCTTAATAACCAAAAAGTGAAATAACCTAAATGACCATCAGCTGATGAATGGACAAACAGTGGTGGTATGTCTATACATTGGAATATTATTCAGCCATACAAAGGAATGAAATACTGGTATATGCTGCAACACGGTGAACTTTGAAAACGTTAAGTGAAAGCAGCCAGTCAAAAAGGAACATGTTGTGTGATTTCATTCATATGAAATGTCCATAATAGGCAATTCTATAGAAACAAAGTAGATTAGTAACCTGGGCTTGGGGGAAGGAGGTAGCAGGGAGTGACTGCTAATGGATAGAGATTTTCTTTTTGGAGTTCCTTGTTTCTTAGAACATGAAAATGTTCTAAAATTAGATAGTGATGATGGTTGTACAATTTGTGACTGTATTAAAAACAGCTGAATTGTACATCTTTAAAGGCCAAATTTTATAGGATTCAAATTACAGGTTAAGAAGAAAAATCTTATCACCTTAAAAGAAAGCTTATGGGACAACATTAGTAAGCATATGTAGGTGTAACACATTTTATTTTATTTCACACTAGGCAACAAATTTCTGTTAGACAATGAACTCCTGAGACAGGAACAATGTCTAACACCTAGGACAAAACTTGGCATATAGAAGGTGCTCAATTCATTTTTTCCACCTTGCTATTATGATTAATTTGAAATATATAGAAAAGTTGAAAGAATATTATACTTTGGACACCCATATACTCATCATCTAGATTCTACAATTAATATTTTATCACACTTGCTTTATCTTGTATTTCTGTTTATCTAACACCACTTTCTCTCCATCAATTTAACCAATGTTTTTGATGCCTTTCAAAGTAAGTTATGGACATTAGTACACTTCACCCCTAGACTTCAGTAGCATATAATTAACTAGGGCTTATATTTATTAATAGTTCTTTTTATTTTTTCAAAGGTTGAATTTACAAAGTGAAATGCATTAATCAAGTGTATTATTCATCAAGTTTTGAGAGATGTATATGCTTGTGTGATGTAAAACACCCATCAAGATATAGATTATTAACATCTAAAAAATTATTCATTAACATCTAAAATTATCTCATGCCTCTTTCCAGTCATTCCCTCTTCCACCTGTCTGCCCACCCCTACTGCACTCAAGAAAATACTATTCTGAAGTTTTTGAAAATTCATGGATTAGTTTTGCTGATTCCAGAATTTCATGTAAATAAAATTATACAGTATGAATTCTCTTGTCAAAGGATCCTTTCATCAAACATAATACTGTTTTTTACCTTTTATTAAGATTTAATTTTTAGAGCAGTTTTACATTCACAGCAAAACTGAAGGGTAGATACAGAGATTTCCCATGTACCCCCTGTTCTTGTACATGCAGAGCCTCCCCCATTACCAGCATCCCCTCCAGAGTGGTGCATTTGTCACAACTGATGAATTTGTATCATTATAACCCAGAGTCCATAGTTTAAAGTTCACTCTTGGTGTTGTACATTCTCTGGATTTAGACAAATGTATAATGACATGTATCCATCATTATGGTATCATACAGAGTGTTTTTGCTTCCTAAAGGCATAGTATATTGGGGATTCATCTGTGTTGTATATATCAGTATTTTTGGGGGGTTGCATTTTGCCTAGAAACACTTGGCATTCTCTTTCTCTGCTGGGCGCATCAGGAAATCAAGAAAGTTTCTTGATCTTTTTGGTATTATGTTTCTGAGAAAAGTCAGTTTTTCAGCACTTTAGCCTTATTTTGGGGAGGTGGGTTTAAGTTGTTTTTTAAGTTAGTGAAATGATAATGAATTTATTTTTTGTGTTTATCAAATACATTTAGGGTTACATGATAAACTACTCCCCATGTAACATTGTCAACTATGAAAGGAGATTGATACAGTACAACATATAGAAACTTGAAAGTGGTAATGCTACATTATTGGTTTCAAAGAATAATAACCAATGTGTGATTTGTCCATACTTTATATGTAGAAAAAATCATGTGAGAGAAACGTCTTTGTATAATTCAAATTCCTATTTATCCTTAGTTAAATTCTCTTGATTTTTAACTTTATTTTGATTATTAGGTACAGAAGATGAAACAAGAATAGATATGCAGTATCCGGCTCAGTACAAAGGCCAAGAGCTGTATTCACAGCAGGAGGATGAGCAGCCACAGGGATGGGTATCATGGGCGTGGTCATTTGTGCCTGCAATTGTGAGTTATGATGATGGTGAAGAAGACTACCTTGGGAATGATCCTACATCAACCACACATCAACAAAAAACACAGACTTTGAAGGATCCTATTGTTTCTATAGGATTTTATTGTACAAAGGCAACTGTGACTTTCAAAGTAGGTTTCCTTTTTCTTGCTGTTTGTCTGTCTCTCAACTTTAATGTTTAAATTTTGATTTCCAGTAAGAATCTAGCTTAGTTTATTTTATACTCAGTAGATTTAAGGTTGAGTCTTACAGTCCTTAATTCTTAAAACCATATGTCATCTCTTCTAAAATCTCTGAATTTTGATGTCTTTTCCTATCTTCTTAAGGCCTTCTCCACTTTCCTTTTTTATTAGGATTATAAAAGGAAAGTTTTTTAATTAGCTTCATGGAAAGTTCTTCTGTCCCTTCTGAATCTTTCAGTTGGCATACAGGGTACCTTAATATTTTTATTAAGAAAGAAATACACATTAAGAAAATACCCTGTGACTTCATATACTTTTCCAGCCACTATTTCATCTCTGAGCTCTCTTTCATTACAAAATTTCTTTAAAGGGTCATTTATATACATAATTTATATATATATACATATATATATGTATATATATGTAAAATTTTCTTTAAAGGGTTATTTATTTCTCTCTGTTTTCACCTATCTTTCTTTAAGGTTGTTTAATTTTTTATTATCTAGTTCCTAATCTAACTCTATTTTTCAGCTGTGTTTAAAATACTTTGAATACTTCCTCCATTAACAAATACATGTAAAATACATTCTTAAAAGAGATTATATAATAGTTATTTTCAGGTGAAAGAATAATAAGGTGATCACTCTTTTATTTTAAAAAAATATAGTGCCACTAGTACTTTGGTACCCCTTATTTGTTCTTCTTTGATTATATAATGTCTTCTCTGCCCCTCAACTATAACCCAACCTTAATTTTGTGTTATTTATTTCTTGACTTTTTATAATAGTACTACTGTACATGTAATATTCTTGAACAGTATCAAATTCATTCAAGTATATATATTCAAATTAATACATATTAATGCTATCTATGTACCATTGTTTTGTCTCTAGAGAGCCACAGTGAATAGATCAGCTATCAATCCCTGCCTCTTAAAATGTAAATTGTTATTATAAACAAGTAAGATATATAGTATACCCATTATTATATGTAGAAAAAATAAAAGAGGAATAGTGAATGCTTCCCCTAGATGGGATGGGATTATGCAAGTTAAAAGCGATGATCAGGGAAGGGCTTAATGGAAAGGGGATATTACAGTAGAGACTTGTGGAAAAGGAAGCTTTGTTGATGTGTAGGAATGAACATTCTAGGAACAGCAATTTAAAAGCCCTGAAAGTTCAAGGAACAGCGAGGAGGCTGGTGAGGCCAGAGCAAAGTGAGCTAATGTGGAAGCAGTACAAAATCAGGTCAGAGAGGGCTGAGGAAGGTCCATAAATTGTCAAACCATGTAGGTCATTTTATGGACTTGGTCATCAATCCTGGGTGAGATAGGAAGATTTTGGATAATTTTTAGCATAGTGGTTATCGGACGATCTGAATTATATTTTAGATTGCATCACTCTGTTTGCTGTGTTGAGAATAGATTGTAAGGGGACAGAAGCAGAAGTATGGAGATCGGACAGAGGATTGCAATTTTGAAGCAAGAGTTATGATGTCTTGGACTAAGTGGTAACAAGTGAAGGTGGTGAAAAGCAGTTGGATTTTGGATGTATTTTGAAGGTCAAGTGTCCAGGACTTCCTGATAGATTTTATTGTGAGACATAAATGAAATAAAGAGGATCCAAGGATGAGTCCTACACAAGTAGGAGGGTTGAGTTCTGATTTTCTGAGATGGAGGAGTATGGCGAGAGGATTAGCTTTGAGATAAATATCAGGAGTTTCATTTTGGAGATTTCAGTGAGGGAAACTGAAAATAAGTGACTCAGGATGTAGGTGAAAAAAACCAATAGAGTGCCTGTCCAGAAGTGCCATGAATGTTTTCTAGTGGAGGGAGTAGGTTATTTGTGAGAATGGATGATTGGATTTGGCAATGTGCAAATTACTGTTGATCTTGACCAGAACAATGATTTGACACTGGTGGAATCTTAGTTGGAGTTGGTTAGCAACAAATGGGAAGATTGGTGGGAATGTAAAATTGTGCAGTTGCTGTAGAAAACTGACGGTTCCTCAAAATGTTAAACATAGAATTATCATATGATCCAACAATTACACTGCTAGGTATATATTGAGAAGAACTGAAAACTAAATTCAAAGAAATGAAAAAACACGAATCTTCATAAAAGCACTATTTACAATGACCAAACAGCTAAAATAACTTAAATGTCCATCAGATAGAGGAAGGCATAATAGCCTTTTCAGAAAGTAGTGGCTATTCTTTTTCCATCGTACACCAAACTCAGTAAGTGGTGGTTTTAAAAAAAAGACTAGTTGTATCTCTGACTCTTGGAAATTGTCTGGTACATATTCAGCAAATAAATGTTTGTTGAATAAATCCATCATCTATCCATCTACCCATCTGCTTTACATTTTTCTATATTTTTGGACCCTCTTTTAGATTTTTTTCTTTACTTTTATCTGTCTTTGGGCTTATTTTTTTCATGGAGGCATTTTTCTGAAAAAGATAAACTTATGTGTCCAACCTGTGAGGTAGCATTAAAGGTATTATTCCAGGCAACTTGTTAGATACTGGAAATGTATCTGTGAAAAATCAAATTTCTGCTCTGCTGTCTTTAATTTAGCTTGGATTGTTTAACTGCTTGAAGTAAACTTTTAAAATCAGTAGTAAAGCTATATAATTATTAACGCTAGCAGATGGTAGATTAAAAATATTTTAAAATAAACAGTCTTTAAAGATTTTTCTTGTGAAAACCATTCAGTATTTTCTAATTTGACAGAAGCTACGAAATATAGAGGATAAGTTTCAACAAAAGTATAGTCATGGCATGATTGGTTTAAAGAATATTTTTTTGGGGGGTAATAGTTTGGGTCAGAAATGATAAAAATGCCTACATTAGCTGTACTACCTTAGCACTACTGTTTACGAATTTTATGAAATAAATTATTTTTAAATTGTGTTACAAAATTTACAGTTGAAATTCATTGATTTAGCTTTGTTTAAATAAAAGGGATATGGGTCAGTCTGCAAAAATAAAAACAATGAAATATAGAACTCTTTAAAAAAAAAAAGCCAACTGTTGCCAACTGTTTAGATATCTTGCCAGTTTTAGATGATCCAAATGAAGTTATTTTTGATTTAAATTTGTGAGGAAAGTTAAGTTTTGCTAGTGAAGAACTATCTTTTCTTACGATTTTTTTATGTATTTACTTTCAAAGTTGAAATTTTTCTGGCACTTTTCTGTGAACTTCATTGATGAGAAGAATAGTATTAAACTGAGTCAGGCAGAATAGGCATATATAAAACTTTTATAGACTTTTGGGCTAGTATTTTGTCATTAGTTAATACATCTTTTAAAAAATTTGAAACATTTCTGTCTTTCTAAGGTCTGTAAAGGAGATATGTTGATATTTAGGAAGAAAACAGAATTCATTGTTCAGCTTGGATTTGAAGAATGTATGGAATTAATTTGTGGTTCATATTTTGGTCAGAAAATAAGGTCATGTTTCTACATTAGCATTCTGAACAGTTGATATTAATCCAACAAAAATCATGCCAAATTAAAGGTAGCATTTAAAAAATAATGTTGAAAATTATTCTTGTAATGTTTGAGTCCTTTTAATCAATTAATTGCTTTTTTTCTAGAATAATTGTAGACAGCTGAAGGTTAATCAAGTTTAAAATACTCAGTTTTACTTAAGCATTTTAGATTATAGAATTGTACTTTACAACAGCAACATTGTGTATACCTGTTTTAGAAGCCTCCAAGAAGTAAAGCTTAAATTTTATAAAAGCTATTTTTTATAAAGAATGAGAATAATTTAGTTGATTCTCAATATATAGAGTTTATCTTGCTTACAAGTATAGCTTTTCAGCTTTGACCTAAGTTAATTTTTTTTTTTTTGGAAGTGTGATCATTTGTGAGGTCACTGAGTCATTAGCAACATGGAGAGAATATCTTTTAAAAAAGAAATAACATTTTTACTTTGAAATAGTTTTAGATTTAGAGAAATTTGCAAAGATAGTACAGACATGTGACATATACTCCTTATTCAGTTTTTCCTGTTGTTAATGTCTTATGTTATCATAGTACATTTCTCAAAACTAGGAAGCCAACATGGTGCATTATTATTAAATTCTATACTTTAATTTCATAATGACCTTTTTCTGTAACATGATCCAAACCAGGATACCACATTGCATTTAGAAAAATATCTTTTTTTCCCTAAGAAAAGTATCTTTTAAAAATAATTGGTTTTTGGATACATAGAAATGTATGCTGTAAGTTTCAGAGGAGCAAGAATATATATAAATATATACATTTATTTGTCAGCATCTAGATTAGTACTTGTTATCTAGCAGGCACTCAGTATTTGCATGATTGAATGAGTCTATGACACATGCTGTGAGATTATGTACTTAGGAAGTAAACAGCCGTGAATCTACTTAGCTCATAGAACTAGAAAAAGTTTTGTTTAATCCATGTTTTTTCACAGCTTTCTTTTTGATTACAGATAGAGAGAGATCTTAGAAATGATTCAACTAAATCTGATTGAATAGTGCATATAAAATGACCTGAGGTTAAAAAGTATATTTAAATTTTTGGCAGAATATATGAGCCATTTTATGACTATAGGACTATTACAGCTATATAGCTTTCACATTTTTAAGAAATATTGTTAAGAAAAAGGAGTTAAATAAAATAAAGTGGTGCTTAAATACTCCATATGAATTTATTAGACTAGCATATTCAGCCTTTATACCATGGATAATCTGTTACAGCTGTTTTTGTTGCACCTGTTTTCCTGCTTAATAATTAAATTTCCCGAGTCTTAAAATTGGCCTTGTTTCCATCAATTCATCATAGTAATGACAGTTTATTGCCATTTACTACTAATTTGACTTACTTAATATTCTTACATCGTTTCTTAGCTCACTGAAATGCAAGCCGAGAGTAGTTATTACAGCCCTCAAAAAGTAAAATCTAAAGAAGTATTGTGCTGGGAACAAGAAGGAACTACAGTTGAGGTAATCTTTCAACACTGAACATATGTTTAAAAATCTTTTGAATGGTCCTTAAAGTTAGTATTCAGTAAATGCAGGTTTTTATCATAGGTAGTTTTAAAAAAATAAGTTTTCTGTTTCTGTCAGGGTCAGTATTGTTTGCAATAATTTTTCTTTAACGAAGATTTTACTGTGATATGTGACGTTAATTTTTTTCTTTCATTTTTCCATTTGACCTGTGTGTACTCATATGGATGTGTGGATTAGTGTTCTTGAAGTGCAGTTGAGGATCCAAAGTTTTGATGATACAGAGACAAAAAAGATGTTTCTTACTTTAATAGGGTTTGTGATCTGAGGAGAATAAATTTGGAAAGGTCATAATCCTAGAGATGTTTCAACTAATTTAGAAATTCTACAAGGAAAGCCTGTAACATTTTTATGAAATTCAAGTTCATAGTTCTAATGTTCCCTTTCCTCTTGTAGGCCCTTATGATGGGAGAGCCTTTCTTTGATTGCCAGATTGGTTTTGTAGGTTGCAGAGCCGTGTGCCTTAAAGGAATTATGGGTGTTAAAGATTTTGAAGAGAATATGAATAGAACTGAAACCGTAAGTCAAAATCTCCGCTTTCACCCATTTTTTTTTTGGATAGAATGCAGGGATAATGAGGTGCTTATTGAAGTGTTTAACCATACCAAAAATTTTGTTGGACTACATATATCTTTGGCTTGAGAAGGGAACTTTACTATTTTCCCCTGTAAGAAATTATAGAGCTCCGGGGAATTTAGAAAGTTGGTAGTACTTAACACCTGGACAGTAGTTCCAAATACTTTCCAATTCATAAATGTTTCTTCTTTCTTGTTTATGGCAGCTACTTGGAGTTCCTCTTTGGTTTGTTAAAATGTTCTTTGCCAAAATAGGCAATGGAAATGGAGACAGCATTCCTTGTCTTTTTACAGGTCTTCAAATAGAAGTGATTTGTATTGACTACTGAATTGGTGTTATAAAACCAAAGTTTTATTTTCCTTAACTGTCTAATGATTTTTCCTCCTGTGCAGAAACTTTCTGTTTATTTTCAGGAAGCCTGTTTCTTCATTTGTGGTGAAAATTTGAGTTTAAAAGGTTTGACATACCTCACAAATTCATTATTTGATTACCGAAGCCCAGAAAATAATGGGACTCGTGCAGAATTTATCTTGGATGCAGCTAATCATAAGGTCAGAGAATATACATTTGAGCCAAATTCTAGGCTGTGTTTGCATGGACACTTTATGTGAACACTACTGATTGCCATCTTTTTTCTCAAAATAATGTATTCTGAATGCTAGTTGTTTCCTGAAACATCTAGAATACTTTTGTCCAGCTTCTATATCTAGAGAGGTTTGGGAAGTGCACAGAGAGATCTCTGCTTTCATACAGTATATAGCCAAGTTAGTTCACTTAGTCATTCCCTACTGTTAAAACTGTCATGGAAGAAACATGTAGAATTATTTCTTTGAATTTCAGTTACTTTTGAAGTGTGGAATTAATGAAATGAGATGAAGAATTTCATGTTTGACTTCATGTATATCTTAGTATTGTTTGAATTCTTCGTGTAAGATTATGTTAATGTACTTTTTAGGGCATAAATTAAAAAATTCAAAGAAAGTTACTGAAGAGTAGTTTAATAGAATCAATAATTTACATTTTAGCCCTTTTCACTACAAACTTAATTTTATAGTTGAACATAAAAGAATTTAATTTTTACCTAATTAACATGTATTTAAAATATTTTAGTATATCTTTAGTGTTTGAACTGTTTTATATAAATATACTGAAATATTTAAGGAGTAACTCTATTTGAGAGTATATGTTTGACAGTTTTGTGATGGTAATAAAGGTCAGGAACCTACTGTCCTACTCCATTATAGGTATTCATTAACCAAACATTATTGATGAAGTGGTCAAATTGTCTAGTAGAATTACAGATGTCCTTTTGTGTTGTTTGTAGCAGAGGTAACACTAACTTTTTTGTAACTGAATTCTTCGAATAACCTCTGTTCTTCCGTTTTGTTAATCCTTTGAGTTGGTACACATTCTGTGTTAGGATATATGTCTGATTCTTGACCTATTAGATTTTAAACTCAAAAGTCTCCTCTGTACAACATCCGTTCTGTTTGCTTTTCTTTGTTGACAGGAGACATACACTGAGATAGCTGGAATGCAAAGGTTTGGGGCTTTTTACATGGATTACCTGTATACAATGGAGAATGCCAGTGGCAAAGGTACTGGTTTCTTTCCTTTATGTTTGCTTTTCCTTGAACAACAGAAACAAACACTTCTTAGGAATCAAGTGTTACCTGATTAGTGTTGCACTCTGTTACATCAGATTAACTTTCCATTACTTTGGGGAATGGTTTAATTTTAAGGTCATGTTAGAATTTTCTCAGATTCTTAATGTTTTTAGTCCTTTCTTTGTGCAACTGACTGAAAAGACATTTTGTATTATTAACTAGAATTAGTTCTAATATGTACCAAATATTGAAAATTTTGATACATCAAATTTTATATTAAGTTGTCAAAAAGCATAAATAAACATTTCTTTCTCAAAACATACATTTTGAAGATTATATAGATCCTAAGCATCTACTGTATGGCACAGAAAACTAAATTCAGTATCTTGTAATAACCTATAATGGAAAAGAATCTGAAAAAGAACATCTATGTGTGTGTGTGTGTGTGTGTGTGTGTGTGTATAACTGAATCAGTTTGCTGCACACCTGAAACTAACATAACATTGTAAATCAACTATACTTAAATAAAAAAATATTTTGCTCACAAAAACAAAAGTTTATATAGATTTTTTTATTAAAAAAGAATTTGTTGTTTCAAGCAGAAAAGTAGAAATAAGTTCTAGAAACTATGGACAATCTTTTATTATTTTATGTGTTTCATTCTTATTATGTTAGCAATCAAATGATTTCAAAAATTTAACTATTTGATATTTTATTTGCACATCAACATACTGTGTTGTGCTTAGTACTCCAGTCTTCATATTGAAAATTTAGTTAAAAGATTCACCATTTTTTGGGTTAATTTTTTATATTTTAATGATTTCTTTGTGTTAGGTGATGAGTTAGATATTGTGAATGCAAAGAAGACCAAATCATTTCTTAAAAAACCAATAGATAGTGTTTATGCACTTAAATAAATGATTACAATAATAAAGCATGTTAAGAATAGCAATATGAACACACAAGTAAAAGAGGTCCAGGTGAGAAAGTGACTGCTTTTGGCTGTAGGGTTGAAGACTTCATAGAGGAGTTGATCTTGAAGGATCGTTAAGTTTTGTTAGATGAAAACAGTTTAGGAAGGAAAGGAAGTAAAGAGCAGTAATTTTCTGCTTCCTCCTTTTGTAATGGATTTCTAAATGTTGGTGTTCTGAAAACCTTGGATTCACTTCTTTCCCTGAACTCTTCTTGAAGTAATTTTATTCTTTTCCATGGATTTAAGTACCTTCTGTATGTACATACTTGACATTTCCCCTCTGTATCTTACATATATCTCAAAATTGAATACGTCAAAAATTGAATTAGTAATACCTCCATGGTCACCTACTATTTCTCCCCTATTTCCAGTTTTCTTTTATTGGAAAAATTTTCTACCATCTTCTAGTTGCACAAGCCAGAAACCCAGGAATCATCACGACACACTTCTCTCCTAGCATCCTAACCATCAACACATTTTGTCAAATTTTATCTCCAGAATCTATCTTGAATTCCTCTCCTCATAAGCACCACTGCTACCACTCTTGTCTAATCCTCTATCTTCTCTAGATTCTAATAGCTTTTTTACTGGCTTCCTGTTTCCACTCTTGCCCTCCTATAATTCATACTGCAATCAAACTGGTTTAATTTTGTGCTTAAAATCCTCACTGCCTTTGCATTGCTTGATTTAAAAACAAAATTTAAATAGTTTATCAGATTTTGGTTTTTAGTTAGTGGATAATGATAACCACAAAGGAAGATAGAGACACAGAGGGAAGATGTTTGGAGGAAAAGATGTGTTTTGAGGTACCTGTGGATATTGGTAGAGATGTTCAGTAGCCAATTAGATGTTTCAGGTTCCCCCTGCTGTCCAGAAGAACAGCATTCCTGTGAAACCTTTGGTAATCCGAAGTGGTGTAAAGTGAAGAAGCAGTTACCTTAGGACACATCTTGTTAATGGATGCACAAAGTAAATTGAGATAAAATACAGATACTCACAGACACACTTCAAAGCTATGATGGCTTGATGCTAAGATTCTGAGTGTAGTTGCTGGGGAAGAAGCTTGGTGGTGCCACTCAGTGCTGGGGGTTTGCACTGCCTCTGTAATGCCTTGTTGCAAAACAAATGCTGAATGCTATTCCTGCCTTTTTTCGTTAAAGTGAAAATCCCCTTTGGATTCCTTTTGGTTAGGGAAACAGCTACTAATATAGATCTTTTATAAAAGTGAAATGGCATAAAGCTAACTTTTGAAAAGCAAGGGATACCTGTATATGAATGTGCAATTCAGAAGTCTCTGTTCTAAGAACTTGCAAATTATTATTGTGTTGTAGTTGCCAAATGTAGGTTGGTAGGTTTCTTCTGGTTTAGTGTGATGTCTTATGCATGTGCTATGGATTCAGTATCTTGTGAGGAGTTGGGGTATGAAGTAGTGGCCTTTCAAGGAAACCTAACACTCAAAGTTTTGTTATTTGTACATATTCTGATTCTAGAATTTTTAAGAGATTGAAACCTGATTTCTATTTGCTAGGGTGCCTATATGTTTTCTGCCTGAGAGGCTGGTAGTTAGTGTTTGAATTTTTCATATATTCCATTCTTGTGAATAGTATGTAGTGTTATAGATATCTTAGTCCTTAATTTTTTTAAACAAAATGATGGATCAGAACATACAAGCAGAAAAGTTCTATGCATTTATGTACAGAAATGCAAAGAATTATAAGCACCTGTGTATTACCCACACAAGCCAAGAAACAGGACAGTGTTAGCATCTTAGAGCCTTCTGTGTGTTCCTTTTCCATCAGTCTTCTCCTCCCTCACCAGAAGAAACTGCAGTTCTGAGGTTTGTGATAATCATTTTCTTGTTTTTGATTTACCACTTACACAGATATTTTGTGAGCAAATAATTTTTTTGAGAAAATGATAAAATTCCACTGTTAATTTAACTTGTGAATGTCACATGTACTTTAAAAATGTATTCGTTCACCCAGTAATCTGTTCATTTATTCTTTGCCTGCTTTTAGGTAGCTGCTTTCATATGTTTGCTTCTTATTGTGAATCTATATTCACTTATAATGTAGTGACAGTGATTATAATAGCTAATGTATATTGAATGATTTTAAATGAAAGGTGCTGCTCTAAGTGTTTTATGTATATTAGCTTATTTAATCCTCATATTAACCCTATAAGGTAGATAATAATACCCTCATTTTACAGATAAGGAAATAGCAAATCTTAACACAGGTTAAGTAACTTGGCCATGATCAAATACCTGTTATATGGGATTTGAACCCAACTAGTATAAATCTATAGCCTACATTCATGACCACTGTGTTCATATTTTCTTCTTTCTTAGATTACTTGAAACAAGAAATTTGTAGATTTTTCATTATTTATGAGCCTAAGAAAAATATTTTGAATTTTCACAAGAAGTTAATTTTAAAACTTGGAAATATTTTATCTAAAATTCTTGATTGGTTGTGACTCGACGTTTGTTTCTTCAGTCCAGATTATCAAAAAGTGCCCTAAATTTTATTTTATCTAAATGTAGTATTAAACTGATAATTACACAAAGTTTGTAGTGAATTTTGAAATTTTTAAAGCAGATTTGATTGGTATGCTTTAAGTAGCTCACGCTAGTGTTCTGCTTAATGTAAAAAAAACTAGTAAATGCAGTAAGAAAAAGGTTATATTATTTATTTCTGTTTTGGTAAATGATGTAGTAGTACTTTGCTCACATTATAAAATAGCATATGAAAAAAAATTCAGTTTATAAATTTCTGGCGGCTCCTGCTTGATATTAATAAGCATTCTGATAGTTATTTCATTTTTGTTATGCTACTTGAAAGCACTTAGTGTTTTAAAAATGAAATTTCTTACTAATGTAACTTTAAATATTACTGTTATAACTACTACCTTTCTACTCTTTATTTAGGAAATTATTGCCAATTTTTTATGGACCTAAAATAGATAGCTGAAAATGTAATCTACCATAGAAAGATTTTAGAGACATAGAGATAAAATTGAAACCATTCAGTTATTGGATTGAGGAAAAGGATGAGAGAGAGGCATCATGGTTCATTGCCCTTTTGAATCTGGATATCTTGTGACAGTATTGGTGTTAATTTAGGTGAATGTTGAAATAGAAGGATTCTTGATTCCTACATTATTCTCTTTAAAGGTTAACTTTCTAGCTTCTGGAGTAGAGCTATTCTCTTTTTTTTCTATAAAGGTATGGATTTTTTTTTAAACTGAAACTCAGACTTATAAGGTATAAGTTAAATATAAGCCAACTTTAATAAGAACCAGTAGGGAAAGAAATCAGGTGAATCTCTAGTGCAAGAGGACAATGAGGGATATATAGTTCTCACAGATGCAAGTAGAGTTCCTTCTTGCACCCTGACAACACAAATGGTTGATGGAGTTGTTTTGATAATTTGCAGATTCCTCTTCAGAAGGGAAGAAGAATAATTTTGTGTTGTTAGATATAAAAGTACAGATAGGTGTGGGCTGTGCAGGTTTGTTGCCTCCGGTTATCCTGGAGGGACTGACAGGTCCTTCCTTTTTATTAGGCTAACTGGATATTGTCTTGACTTTTAATGAGAATAGTCAGATATTCAGGGAGCTGGAATGACCAGGCCTTGAGGGTGGTTACAAGTAAATACCTTGCTGAAAAGATACAGCTAAAAGCCATTCACAATTTTACATTTCAGATAAGCCACTGGTATCTAAATTTAAACTGCCTTATAATCAAGTTGCATTATCTGGGAAAAAATACAAGCCTTCTGTTATTTTAGAGGCAATCTGAAAAAAGAAATGTCTTCTCATAAAGTGTCATGATAGTCCCTTCAGTACTCAAAGCAGCACATTTTCCTTGTTTTTTGAATATTGTGATTTTCAACCAGATTCTTCTGGTTGTGTTTAAGTTACCTCATCCTAACAGGTAACTTCAGAAATGCCTGATACAGCTATGAAAAGAAATTTTTACAATGTGAATGGTATTTTATTTATACCTAACTTCTAATGTGACTCATTGTTATTTATGTGTATCATAAAATGATCATAAAATATGCGTAAGATTAACTTTGTATGTTTTGTGACATTTAATTCTGTGTGATCATCTTGTTAAGAATATATGAATAATTATTTTTTTGTCTGTGGTACCGAGACTAAAGATTGAACTGAACTCCTTTGTTTGAAATGAGGGAAATGTATTTTTGAAAAAGTTACTAAAAGGCATAGATAAGGAATTTTTGTGTTCAACTGGACCTTCCTAGATTCTAAAGATAGTAAATGTTGGAAAGTTTTTCTTAACTATATTTGTTTGAATAAAGAAAATGGCATAAGAGTTAAAAAATTAATATATGTTGTCCCTTAAAATGGTGGATTTATATGTTAAAAGCAAATCTCTAATGTAAGGTGTGTACATGGTAGATAAGGAGACATACTGGTAAGTAGAGCCAGGGTTTTCTTTAGGAGACAGCTTTGGTTCCTCTTCAATATATGGGCAGGTAAGGAATTGAGGAAATTAGATTCTGCACCGTGGAGCATGGCCATAATGATTTTATTCTGGAAAAAGTTCAGAACGAGTAATACCTATTATTTACTTCCATGGTCATTATAAAATTCTCAAGGCACCTTGTGAACATGTAATTTTAAGCAATCTATTTTTCAGTGAAATGTCTAAGATAAAATAATAGTAAAATATAACTTCCTCCAGAGTCCTTCCTCCCAGTCAACATAATAGTATTTATTGTGCATAAAATTATTGGATATAGGCCAATTAGATTTTAGAGAATAATTTTTTAAGAATGACCATTTCAATTTTATAGCACTTCATTAAGTAGATATGAAGAATGCTTGTTTTTTATTTGTTTTTTGTCGATAATGTCTTCTCATCTGCACAAAGAAAACTATATTCCAGCAGGGTACTGTGTATCCAGCTGATGGAGAATTTGTTTTAAGGCATAAGCTATAAGCTAAAAAGATAAGAGTAACATTAAGACATATCCTTGATATATCTGGTGCTTAAAAATTAATATAAAATTTGGCTTCTTGTAGGTTCTGCAAATCAACAAGACTTTTCTTCAGGGAAAAGTGAAGATTTGGGGACAGTTCAGGAAAAGTCTACCAAAAGTCTTGTTATAGGTCCTCTTGATTTTCGCTTGGATAGCAGTGCAGTACATAGAATTTTAAAAATGATTGCCTGTGCACTGGAACATGAATATGAACCATATAGCCGACTGAAGCCAGGTTTGTTTTTTGCTTAATTTTGAATCTCTTGCTAATTGATTTGAATAATTATATGATCCAATTTGTTGTATTTTGCAAACTTAACCTTTTTAGTATGTTTTCTCTTATCTAATGTTCATATAATTAGTTGTTAACTTAAAGATAAACTTAAGTGTAGAAGTTATGGGAGAAGTCAAAATTTAGAAGTTACTTGTATAAGTACGTACTTTATTTGCCAGTATTTGTCAGTATTTTATTGTCATACCTTTTTGATACTTTTTCCATTGGATACTCATGAAATATGACCATTCTTCTACCATAGTGAATTCTAAGGAAGAGACATGAAGGTGGGTTCTGAACATACACATTTAACATTGAAGAAAACTTAGGTCTTACGTGTAATAAGGAATTTTCTGTATGACTGATATTTTCTACATGGTATGAAGATTTGGTTATCACGGTTTCATAAAATACATGTTAATATTTTATGCAGTAAAGCACTCTAGGACACATAGCATAATGAGGGTGTATAGAATAGTGAAGAACTTAGCCCGTGGGGTGAGACTATGGTTTGAATTCTGACCTCTACTTCTTATTGACCTTAGCAAATTAAACTAACATGACTGATTTTTCCATTTCTCTATCTCTATAATGAATTTAATTATTGTGACAGATAGTTAAATTGTCTCTTCAATATTCATTCTCCTCTTATTTTATAGTAATAGAAATTTCTATGGTAGAAATTTTATTACAGAAATAAGGACTCCACATCCCAAATGTAGTCATGTGACTACGTTCTGGCTACTGGAATGGAAGCAGAACTTCATGTGAATTTTTTTGTAACATGACTTTAAGAAGAAAAGAGCATGTCTTCCTTTTTTTCTTTTCCCCTTATTTCTGGATGAAAAAAATTATAATGGCAGAGCTGGAGCTCCCAGCTTAGACCATGAGATGAGAGCTGCATGCTGAGGATGACAGAGCAACTAGACAGAGCCTGGGTCTTCAGCAGTGCCGTGGCACCATGCCAGGATGGACCCTTTAGACTCACATTGTTGCATGAAAGAGAAATAGGCTTCTGTTTTTGTTGATGCTTCTAGTATTTTCTTTTGTTATAGCACATTTACTCTTATCCGAGGTGATACACTAACAGGACCCACTTGGAAAGATTAGTGCCTGTAAAAGCATGTAACCAGGTGCTTAGTCCATAGTTAGTGCTTGATATGTTCGTTCATTCATTTCTTGCATCTTGCTTGAATGCCTGCTCCATGCCAGACACTCTGAGAAGTGCTGGGGTAGTATGTACAGAATGGCTAGAACAAAAAATAGTGACAACATCAAGTTTGGGGGAGGATGTGAAGAAACTGGGTCACTCATTCATTGCTGGTGGGAATGTAAAATGGTATAGCCACTCCTAAAAACTGTTTGGCAGTTTTTTAAAAAAATCAACATGCAACTGACCATATAGGCCAGCAGCTGCACTCCTGGGTGTTTATCCCACAGAAATGAAAACTAATATTCACACAAAAAACAGTACATAATTAATTTTTCTCATGTAAAAGTCCAAGCTGGTAGGTACTACAGGGCACTAGGGTGACTCTGTTTTATGAGGTTATGTTAGACCCAGAATTCTTTCTAGCTATTCTGCCATCCTCTGAAGTGTATCTCCTCCACACAGTCAGTGTTGACTTACCAGTACAAGGTCTAATTTTAGTCAACAGGAAGGGGTAACAAGAGAAAATAGTAGGTACGTAGTCTTGTTAAATGATAATGAACGGCTCTGTCATCCTATTGACCAAAACTTAGTAACATTTGTCTATACCCAGCATCCAGGAAGGCTGGAAAAATGTATGCTCTGAAGGAGTCCATTTATCTGACATAAAATTCAGAAAGTTTTGTTGCTAAAAGGAAGAAGAGGAGTTTGCAATTAGCAGTCTCTTCCACAGTGGAATTATGCCATACAGACACACATACATATATACATGTATATATAAATTAATTTTTATTTCAGTTTTTATTTGGAATATGATGTGTATAAGGAACAACTGCTAGCTGACTGTATACAGGCAGTCTCTGCATGGTAGTTAGAGACCATAAAGCTGTGCAAAATGAAATCAAAGTGATCACAATCAGTGGGGCAAATTAGTTATTCCACGCTTTTTGATATTTTTGTCAAAACAATAAAAGCTTTAACTATAAACTTTATAGGAAGTGAAAAAATAGTAAAAAGTATAGCAACAAATTAAGTGTTTTGTTTCTTTGTAAAAAAAAAAACTAGTAGTTTGAACAGTGCTGTCTCCTTCTTGTTGTATAACTTACAATATGGAGCAAATGTCTTTCCTATGTCTTGGCAAATCGTCAAACTCCCAAGTTTGGATTACATTCCAACATTTTATCCCATACACTTCAATGTCCTAAAAACCTCTGTGAGTTCCTTTAATGGAAAGTATTTTGCTTGCATCACTTCTGGGACATCTTCATCCTTTTTAGCACAACCACTTTTCTCATCTACATTGATGTTTGTCTTCACTAGGTTTCCCTAGCTGCACAATCAGGGTCTCTCCAGTTGTGGAGTGTCAGTATTCCCACAGTCAACTATTTCATCTGTAACTCCATTTGTTTTTTGTTAGAATTTCACTTCCAGCATTTTCATTTTTCTTTGCTGCACTTTCATCTTTGATTGCCAGTTCATTATTTCGATAATCCAGTTTTGTAAAATGTCACATGGATTTATCACTAGTAAACAAGGAATCAGTACAAGTACATGCTTTACTGTCTGTGCCAGAGCTATATGACAGGTACTGGTAACCAGTAACCAAATCTGACAGACTTTAAAAGAAGTGACATGATTGGTCACAGAGCATATGTTTATCTCTAATGATTGTGGACTGTAGGGTTAGTAGTGAAGTTAGTACTTTATGCAGTTATTTACAGTCATTGTACTGTGGGAGCTGATATTTAATCTGTGTTTTTTGGGAACTGGTTTTTTTTTTTTTTTAACTAAAACAAGGTAGTTGGAATTCAGAACTGTGCAAAGTGAAAGCTGCCTGAATGTACATATATATGACTGCATAGGGTTAAATCTTAAGTAGTTATAAGTCCTTCTCCACTCTTTTAAAAATTATGTATTGAAGTGTAAATACATACTGGAAAGCATACAAAACCTAAGGGTATAGTTCTGGGAATTTCACAAAGTTAACCACATCTATGTGTCTAACTGTTCAAGAATTGGAACTTTACCAGCACTCCAGAATTCTTCTTGCCCTCTTCTGGTTATTACTCTCACCTCAGGGGTAATCACTGTCCGTCCTTCTAACATCCTAGGTTTAGTTTTGCATATTTTAGAATTCTTGTAATTGTAATTGCACGGTATATACTCTTATCTATAGCTTTAGCTTACATTATGTTTGTGAGATTCCTTTTCATTGTAGTATAGTATCCCATTTTGTGAATATAGGATACCTTACTTATCCATTTTATTTTTTAACATTTTTTTGAGTTATAGTCATTTACAATGTGTCAAATTCCATTGTAGAGCACAATTTTTCATGAATACATGAGCATACATATGTTCACTGTCAATTTTTTTGCTGTGAGCTACCACAAAATCTTGTATATATTTCTCTGTGCTGTACGGTATAATCTTGTTTATCTATTCTGCATATGCCTGTCAATATCTACAAATTTTGAAATCTCAGTCTGTCTCTTCCCACCCACCACCCCCTTGGCAACCACAAGTCTGTGTTCTATGTCTATGAGTCTATTTCTGTTTTGTATTTATGTTTCTTTTTTGTA